AAAAAAAAAAAAAAAAAAAAAACTCCAAGTGGCTACCACTTTTTGTCAGCTGTGTAATTAATGGGACCCTCTGCAGTGAGCTCTGGTAGGGACTATGCTTTTCTTTGCCCCCATGTTAATTTTAAGGGCCCTCTACCGGGGGCATTTATAGGGGGGCTTCTGCAGGGGGTTACTTTTTTCTTTCAGTATATGGCTATGGCTCAAGTTCTCCGCATAGTTCTACTACGAACATGTTCTGAATGCGTATTCAAAATTACCGTACGGTAAAACTGTTTTACTTTTGTTTTCTTCAAAACTGTTTTACTTTCAAAATTACCCTACGGTAAAACTGTTTTACTTTTGTTTTCTTCATAAACATGTATGCATATACAGCCAGTGCCTTTTGTGTGCATGACGTCATCAGAACATGTCATCAGAACATGTCATCAGAACATGTCATCAGAACATGTCATCAGAACATGTCATCAGAACATGTCATCAGAACATGAAATGATGGCCTTATCATTGACTTGATTGGACTCGGTTCCTCGTTCCCATTTGCGGGTTCTAGTTGGCAGAGTTCTAAGGGCAGACTCCCACACAGAGAGAGAGAGAGAGAGAGAGAGAGAGAGAGAGAGAGGGACCCTGTCGAACTGTCTCCTCCTGGAGGAGGTATTTCATGCAATCAGACTCGTTTTCTCGCTTACTTCGCATGCATGCAAACAGGTGGCAATCAACACTGGCACCAGGCGCCCGCACAAAGCTCAGAGATATTAAGGCCGAGAACACAGTTCAGATGCAAACTCGCTTCAAATTGGCTATGGCGCCTGAGCGCCTACCCATCTCACTTCCGACACTGTATTCACAACCACTGTTCACACACACACACCACGCTCGATCTCCCGGGATGTGATTCCAACCTACGGCGGCCGTCTACCACCAAACAGCTAGCGATAATGGCCGCTCCTCCTTCCTCACAGCCCACTTCACTTCGACTTCCGGCATCTGCACACCACCTCGCACACGACGCTCGGCGAGCGCTTCCGCATGGCGCACAGCAGAATGTCATTCAATGAATGGCTAGACACTGCCTCTCGATTTATACTTCTGTTGGTCGCTGGTCTGCCCTTTTCCCCCGGCCCCATGGTGCACACAGTCCCACATGGTACTTGCTGTGCCACTGGGACTGGGTACCGCTGACTAGGCAAGGTTGGACTACCTACTTGCTCACTTGCCGCTGGCCTAACTTGTAAAACTCTCGAAAGGCCGCCTCCGGACCTTCCGGAAGTCTGCGGACTTGGCCTTTCGGAACTGTAGCAGCTACGATCTTGACCTTTCAGACTTGGTACATGGGATCCGCCTTATGGACGATGTTTCTCTGTTTGTACTGTGTAAGCGTGAGGATGGACCATCCCTCAGGACCGCTACGATGATCCGGAAGAAGTTTGAAAAATGCTACCCCCGGACCCTGTCCCTGAAACGGACGGATGATGGGTCCGGGGGTTGGGAGTTTTTGGGTTGTGCTCTGAAGAACCGGGACAGACAGCCGTTTGTGGGTTCTTTTCAGAGGATACGTGAGGAAGACGATCTCAGGCTGGGCTGGGACTTGACTATTCGGGCAGGGCAGGACTCCACATCCTGGTCTAGCCGCAGTCAAAAAGCAGCAGCTATTGCAGGCTGGCTTCACAGAATTGATCGGAACTCGGCCAGTCGCGGAAAAATCCCAGGGCAGGTGATTCTCCTGAAAATGTTTTATCAGG